GCCTCCAGGCTTTAAAATGAATGTTATCCGACCCATCAAACAAGCCGCTTTATTTTTATCACTGCGTCTGCTCCTGGACTCTGTTTTCCCCTCTGGGATCAATAAACCCACCGCGTTTGTGTAATCCAGATGAAGTGAGGCCGCGTACGCGCCGCCATCCATCCAGCGCAGATCATTTCCGTCATCAGGAGTTTATCTTTTCATTTATAATGCATGAGTCGGGTTTTTTTTTTTGGGGGGGGGGGGCCTCTGCTGACAACAACATTTGGCTGCAGATCACGAACAGAGAAGCACTCAAGTGGCACGATTTGCTCCACTTTTGTATTTCCAGTTTGTTGCTCCCTTTCATTTTTGTCAACTCGGTTCAATTCAGAGACGCTTTAATGACATGAAACTTTCAAGGAGCAGCAGAGTACAACTTTGCATTTTTTCCCCTTTAGACCTCCAAAGCCAGCAAGCAGACAAACAGAAAGAGCTTTACCGCTCATTATTCTGAACCAGGTGAATGTTACCGACATTTTAAAAGAAATGTCAACTCTGCCTAATATTAGGAGTAAGATAACTAATTTCAAATGTTTAAAAAAGAAACTGTAAGCAGAAAAATTTTAGAACATTTTGTTTACTTCTCAGAGGTTGTTCAAACCAGGTTAAAAAGATGGAAGTCAGAAAGTCAGTTTGTTTCCATTTGTGCTTGTTTGGAAGGTGAAACATCCACCAGAGCAGAGTTCAGAAAAAAAGGCAAATATGGTAACAAATGATGATGCATCTTCACAGAAGTAGATGTAAAAGGAGGCAGAGCAGTGGACGGCTATTTCAGGCCGTTTGGCTCATTTTTCAGAGGCTGGAAGCCCCATGTCAGCGTCCGGGGTCTGATTGAAGCCTCTGGCTCATAATAACCTTAAAAAGACCCTTTCTGTCTTCTTCTTTGTTCTTTTCACTGGTCATATGTGAGCTGTGCTGCTCCTAGGCTTGCTTCCAAAAGGTTGTTTTTTTTTTAAATATACAGGATATTTGAAAAGTAATGGGCAGAAGGCTATTTAACATGGAGAAATCTTAACTTTGTTCAAACTCTCGGCCGTATTAATGAGAGAGAATCTGCTCTGTGTAACTATAGACATGTATTTTGTAGTTTTTTGCTATATAGATATTTGTTATTTTGATTATTTGCGTGGCAAAATAAGTATTTTTTACACTAAAGAAATCCAATACAACATTAAAGAACATAAAGAATATAAAGCAGAGCATATTTAAAGTTAAAGGGCGTTGGAATATATATGGATAATAAAGTGGATATAAGGTCACTGCTTTATTGCTAGATTTATTGCTGGTTCTGGAACCGAATCCTAACACGAAACATCTGTCTGCTGAGCTAAAACTCCACTCGTTTTTTATTCTAATTGCACGAAACAACCGGGTTGGTGCAGAGCCGCTCAGACCTCCTCCTCCTCTTCGTGCTCCTCACAGCCAGATGTTGACTGTACCGCGCTGTAATGCTGCGATGTGTTGCTATCTCCCCTCAGGACAGGTGTAGATGCTATCTGATAGTGTTAAAAAAAACTCATGTTGGTGCCTCCATACGACGGCTTTGGAATATTAAAGATGGTTCTCCTTCAAGTAGTGGAACAGTGTGACAAACTTGGATTTCTAGCTCTTTGAGAGTGCGTATTAATCCGGGTTGAAACGATATTTGTAACAGTTGTGCACACAGCAGCTTTTGATTGGAGCCCCAGCTCTGGTAATCTCCTCCTTTGGAGGGAATCCGGCTAATCTCACGGCTGAGGATCCTCACTCTCGCTCCGAGCGGCTTAGAAATGTTAGTTCGATCCTTTAGTTGGAAGCCTGAGAATAAACCAGAGTAGATCAAGAGTACAAATATGGAATTTAGTGGTCACAAGCAAAGTAAATCAGCCCTTCTTTTGATGGACAGTTTTCCTCTGGGCCTCCAACAGGAGGACGAGTGTTATTGGCCAGTTAGCTCTGACATCAATAGGCCAGGTCCTAATTCATGCAGGTTTCAGTGGAATGTGATAAGAAAGTGTGTGTGTGGCACAGCTAGAGAGTTTAACCCAAAATAATTCTAAAGGGAATAATATGAATCTAAAAAGGAATAAGACAATCAGTCATTTACATGGATTAAGTTATAACATACTGTGCTAAAGTGAATGATTATAGCCCAATTCTAACAGAAATCATGTTGATCCGAGCCCGGCCACGTTTCAAAGTGTGTCTGAACTGAACAGTTTATTGTCTCCCCTCTCGGTCTGAGGATGTCTTTCCTAAGACAGATGTGAGGGCTTTGACATACTGCAAAGCAATCAATCGTTGTGTTTATCGTCACTCCTCTTCCCAGAGTGTTTACTTCTGCCCGGAGGGTGGAAGAAATGGGAGGGAATCCTGCTCTTTTCACTTCCTGTTGGATTTCTTAAACAGCTTTATTTGTTTTCTCGTCTTCTTCGTTCTTCATTCTATCTATCTATCTATCTATCTATCTATCTATCTATCTATCTATC